TTAGTTAGGGTGGTTAGTAGGGTGGTTAGTTAAGAAACCCACTGTGAAAAGCTGAGTTTGGCACTGACTGCCTCTCCAGTCAGGGCTCCCAGGCTGCCCCTCGCTCATAGACTATGGAACAGTCAATAAACGAAGCCTAAATTTCTACTGTTTGAGGCACCGAAGCTCAGCCCTACAAGGTTAACGACGTCCGTCCACTGTACAGCCTTTTTTAATATTGAATAAAGCTGGTCTTTCTTGGGAACTGGTCTTTATAGGAGACTGTGAAGGATATTATGGCTTAAATTTGGGACCATCGCAGTCTTCCAAAGGTACGTGGTTTTGTTTGGAGGGTTATTCTGTACCATAAAGTATACTGTAAAATTTAATCAAATTGAAGCGGTCATACAATTTACAAATATCTTATACTGCTGAAAGCAGTAGTAGAAGTTACTTGAATGTTGTTAGGAACACTTGCACTGCAGTCCTCAAATAGGAAGTACCAGTAATAGTAGTCATTAATCACTTATAGGAAGAACTATGACTTACTGTGTCGGTGGTGTTATTATATTCCTCCTTCTTTTTGTTCCTCTACCCAGAACGAACCAGTTCAGAGATATGTTCAAGAAGTGATCACTCGAGACAAAGCAGCTCAAAGTCTGCGACCCGCTTTAGGAAGCACTCAGCGAATCATTCAGGAGCTCCTCTCTTCCACGCAAGTGAAAAGGAAGGAAAACCGTTACCGTGTGATCGCCAGCCATCGACCTAACTGTACCGAAACAGTTGCACCTGTCATAAATGGCGAGGAGTCGATTGATGGTGACAGATCGGACTCTGAAGCAACACAAGATGCTTCACAAAAGGAGAGCGGTGCTGGGGATGAGAGTTCGGACTGCTGTGGGAAATTCCAGTTGTTTGATATTGAACAGGAAGAGGAGGTGGTGGGAGACTCCAGCGTAACTGCTGCAAACCCACAGGTCAGCAAACTAACTCAGTGTACTTGAAGTACTTTGGTATCACTGTTGACTCATACTTGTGGGCAAACCTGACGGCTGTGGAAGGTTTTTTTTGCATTGTAAGTATGCCACTATTTGATAGGAGCTTCAACTAGATATCTGCAAGCTGGAATATTGTACAGGGAGTAACTTTCATGAGGATCCTTAAGTGCACCAGTGTTGTTAAGACAGACAGCTGTGTGGAGTTGGCTGCTACAGGAAGGGCTTGTACCCCCCTGCTTTTTCTGTTCCCTGCTCTGATGTATAAATCCTCCCATTCATCTGTCAGGTGGATCTCTGGTTTTTGATGATTAACTTCTCTACCTAGAAAAGAAAAATGTAATTCAGTCTCTTCTCATCTACCCAGATGCCTAGGAATGTCACTTGTAGGCAAGATTCACTAAAGGAAAAGACATTTTGAGTCTCCCCTTCTCGTAATTCCAATAGAAGGTTTTATTGTATATTTTGTTTTTAGCAGGACCCTAGGTATTCGACAGGCTGTGTAATCCCCTACGTCCTGTTTTCATTGGTATTATGAGTTAAGTATGTTTTCAGTTTGAGGAATATCTGCTTAATGTCTAGCATAGTTTTAAGTAGGAAGAAGCTCTGCGTTCTATGTAGGGTCGCCCTGCATACAGAGAATTAAGAAGACTTTGTCAGGGACTCGTAACCATATGGAAAAGAAGGTAAGAGGGCTGTGTATGCTTTCTTTAGTTGTTCCTTCTAAAGCACATGGGTGCTTTACTTATGCAGCCCATCATAGCTCTGAGGAAAACTTAAATTCTTAATGTTAAAGAAGATACTCGGGTGAGGAAGAGCCCAACCAGCTGTCATCCTCCAGCATTTCTCATAGGTTATTTCAGGGCTTTGCCATCAAACTTTAGTACGAACGCTCGCTTTCTTTTAAGCACGTAGTTCAAACAGACATTGTGATCTGTTAGTTATCTCTCACTCTGCTGATTAGAAAAACAAGTGAAACTGAGGTAGCATCAGAACTTACTAACAGTAAGTGTTGAAAGTAAGAATTAAGCTTTCTTTTTCATTCTGTAATTATTTAGAAGTGAATGAAAGGCTGGTCTGTAGCTCTTCCTCAGAATTACTTAAGTAGCTGAAAAGCTCTGGCAGAGAAAAATTGGCAGCAAAAACCTGCCTGTGTACACCTTCAAGTGCAGGTCAGTAAAGCAAACACTTTGGAAATAATGTATTAGGAAGGAGAAATCATGAAGAAATTTCTTCTGTGTTTATGTTGAAGTGAGGAAAGAAACGAAACACTTATCTGTAGGGCCTATCGGGCTTTTCCTGTTAAACTGTGACATTTTCATTGTTTCTTCTGCACACTTTGTATACTGTAATCTGCTTGCATGTTATCACTGCTACTGTATGTGCATCTTTCCTGCGGTGTTGCAAGTGTAGTGCTCTACAAAACACAGGCTGTCTTAAAACTTGTATTTTCAACCAACGCATCATCGGAAACAGACAAACAGTTCTATGGGATTAGTCATATCCCCTTCACTGGTTTCTAATGAACTTGTCTCAGGAGTTCTGTCCTGTTATCTGAAACAAGGCATGGCTGGCTGTACTACACGAATTGGAAAATTCTTTGGTGTCTTTCTGTTCTAGGTTGCTAACATTCCAAATACCAGTGTCGCAATGGGAAAGTGTTTCAGTACGTCATCCTTAGCTAGCTGTTGGCTGCTGTCTACAAAGACAGTTGGCTGCAACTAAAACTTTGTGTGCGTGACTTCAGTGGAAATACGCACTTTTTTTTTTTGCAGCAGAAGACTGATCCAGATGTGATTCTTTGCAATGCAGTAGAGATGATCCGTGAGCGTTTAAATGTTTCTGAAGATGGTAAAAAAGAACACCGTGAGAAAGAAGATGAGTATGTTTACGACATCTACTATATGGAAACATCAGCCCCTGGTTGGATAGAAAATATCCTTTCTGTACAGCCATATAGAGAAGAATATGAACTGGTAAGGAAGTGGGAAAACAGAGCTTTCTTAAATAGAAAGGTCATAAATAAATATGCTTGAATTCCTATCATTGTAAGTCGCCATGCCAAGAAAAACCCTGTGAGATACTACACATATGCTCAGTGACTTCTGTCTTAGGCTGTTTGTAACTGCCGGTCCTGTGTTCTTCCAGGTTACTGTTGATTCAAGCAAATTATAATATGACAATGAAAACTGAAGGGATAATGCTCAGGTTCTGTAAAGAATTTGTCTGGCTTCAAATTGCCAAATAAATTTTGGCACACAAATGTAAACTTGAAGTAATTCACATCTCATTTGTGACTAGGAGGCAGCCATTAAAATGTAGTTGTAAATACAGTTGGGTGAAAAAAGGAGCAAGGGAGGGACACACAACTTTTTCAATATTTGAGGACTTGACTTCAGTCTTAATATGAGATGCTTTCTTGTAATAAAATTGTCCTTTTGTGACTATGGAGTTAGGAAGTTAAATGTAAGCTTCAGTCTTTCATTATATAGATACTGTGATCAGAAACGTGAAGCTACTTTTTCTGTTCCTTGATGTATATTACATGACTGCTGAAATGAGTAGGGTTAATTTAGACATTAACCTTGGCATTTAAATGGATAACTTCACTGATTTTTTTTTTTTTTTTACCTAAAGTTGATTGCTTTGCTATGATGAATGTACTGACAACTGCTCTGTGCCACTGTTGAATGACTTACACTTGTAGTAGATAATTCTCTTGGCTGTTTATGATCTGTATAGGATTGTATAAGTGGATGAAAAAACGCTTGATGCCAAGTGTCTGTATTTATAGTGAACATGATGTTTTGTGTTGACATGCAGGTAGTTAATGATGATGTTCCAGGGGAATTATATGAAGATGAAGATGATGAAAATGATGAAAATAACTGGCGCAACGATTATCCTGATGAAGATGAATTCTTACCTGATGAAGATGGTGATGGAGAAAAAGGTATGCCTGTCATAAATATGGTTTGCTTTCATGCTGTGCGCATATAAATCCCATCCATTTTTAGATGCCATCTCTAAAAAAACAGCTAACTGAGCACTGCTGGGGTAGTGTTCTGCTTTTATAATGGGTTACATACACTTTGAGAATGATCATCTTAGAACTACAAGAGATCGAAGTGTTTTTGCAAAGTCAAAATTAAGAACTCCATTTCAGGCTGTTGCACTTGCAGAAGATTATTTTGAGAAGGAATAGATGACTTGATTCCACATGCTTGTGAAACACTGTCTTTGCTTTCTTTCTCCTCATCCCAGTGCATTCCAAGCACAATTCAAACTTCATCTAATATAGAAGTTTTTCAGACTTTGTATTTGTTAATGTGAGTCACTCAAGCAGCTTACAATAGTCTCGTTAACCTAATTCCTTAACTAGAAAGAAAGGATAATCTGAAAGTATTGATGCTCTTTCTTTAGAGTCTGACGAGAGCTTCAGTGATGAGGACCAGTGTTACAGGAGAAGAACATGGAATAAATACCGACAGGAGGTTCTAAAGGAATTTGGATATGATGAGATCCAGGATCTGGATTCTGATTAACAGCCCTGTTTTGAAGGTGAAATGCATACTGAAGATGCAATTCTACTGTTGCAGAAGAACTGAAAATCCAGACAGCTGCTGATGGCTATTCATAAGAATGTTGAACTAATAAAGAAAAAGAAAAAAAAAAACCACAAAAAAAACAAATAACCAACCAACCCATCCCAAAAAAACCCTGGAAAACCACTTTCCGGTAAAAGTTGTGCTTATTGGGACAGTAGTAAACCAGGGATGAGCTTTAAGCTAAATTTCTGCCTGTCTGGCCTTCTGAAACTGTTGGTGACTAGCATGGTTCACCATAATGCTTACCAACTAGGCTTGAGTATTCGGTACTAAGATTGGGATTCCAGTAACTACTAAAATCTTGCTGTTACTATCTGAGCAGCCAGCTTAGCTGGTAGATATTAAACAGAGAGGTGTGAATACTTGACAATAAAAGTTTTTGTTCCAAGCAAAAGATACTATATGCTTTAAAGTAGATTTTTCCACCCATTCTGTGATGCTGAAGTTCTGAAGAACTTTTTTTTTTTTTTTTTTTAAAGCAGCATGGCCAAGCATTTGGTACCTCCACATTATATATGGAGGCACTGAGGCACTGTTGGCATCAGCCCTTCTTGTCATGACTAACGTGTCAGGTTTCACAAGAAGATCAACATGTCTGCCTTGATGGCAAATGGAAGTTCTGGAAAAAGGCACTTGGTCCTAGTGCTTTCTACTGTATTTGTTTATAAGTTTCAAGTTACCTTCCTTAGATGTGTTTGAGCATATGAAATGCCTTCATCTGTCTATTTTATTGCTGGATCTCTCTCCAGTAATTTTACTGTATGAGTAGAACAATATATGTGCATTTAAATTGTAAATAAAGAATTTTTGACCAAGTTTTCTTTAGTCATTTGAAGACCACAGCAGTTGGTACAGCTGAAGCTATGTGAGCTTTTTAACTTGCATTCATCTTTAAAACAGTTGCATCTTGCCTGGTTGGACACGCAAAATATTTCAGCACTCTCCTACTTGAGTCTGTAAAAAATAGCTAACAGGATGTTAGATCTATGTCAGCCATGAGCTGTAGGTTGCAGCAGTGACTTTAGGTCAATTAGTTCTGGCTGATGATGCCAAGGTAGTGGAGGCAAAGTATTTTTTTTCCTTGGTTTCACAGAAAGGTTAATATGGCTGTTAACCTATGCCACAACCGTAGCTTAAAACTATGCTTGCCCACTGAACAGATGTCTCAACTTAGATAGTGTATTCGTTCTAATCACAGGCAAGATTAAAAACCTCCATTATAATAGTGAAATGCTAATTTTCATTAAGTACTGAAGAGACCCTGTCAACTACGCACAAAGTTCCTCAGCTAGAATTTAACTATCCATCGTAAATCCCAATGCCACTTCATAAAGGTAGTCTAAGACTCCATTTCACATTGGTCTTCACCATCTACTAACTTTTGCCATTAATCTGCAGCTTTTTGTTTAAGATAACCTTGGTCAGGGAATCAGTATAAGAATCCAAATATTCTCACTGTTATCCAAGTGGCTGATGCAAATGTGGTGGTAGCATTTGAAGTGTGTGTTGCTTCAGCCATATTCTTGTGATTACAAGATTTAGTTCAACTTAAATGCAGAAAAAACTGCACATGTGGACAAACTCAGGTCAACTGAGGTAAACATTCTGAACTAGGATAAAAATTCCAGGTATGTTTTTGAAGTATATCGCACTCTGCTGGCCAAAGAGGCTGGCCTCATGTTACCTTTCGCTGCACCAAAATTCAGTCTGATAATTTTTATTTCTGTTTTCTCTCCCTCCTACTTTGCTTTCAAGATACAGTTGCTGCCACAGAACTTTACTTCTGCTATAGAAGAAAAAAGTGGTTTGTTCTGTGAGTTTCTGGATGGTAATTTTCTAGCAAATAGCACTGAAATTTAGAAAGGGAATTTTCTGACTGCTGAGGTAACACTGCTAATGTGTGTTCACTGAAACAGTTCAGAAACAAATGCTTACAAGCTTCAAACTGAGCATTTTAATTTTGGAAGTTTTATAAAGCCTGTCAGAAGTTGACCCAAGTACCAACAAGCTAACAGAAAAGAATCATCAAGTGTTAATCGAATCTTTAGTGCCAAGGTGCTTTGTTGATTAGACCCTTGCTACAGTCAGATACCACATTTCCACACAGCGTACAGAATAAAATACTTATCTGTAAGGCATAAAGGTTGGTTCAGTCTTTAAATAATGTAGCACAACTTTATTCATTTTTCTGTTAATAATGACAAGTAGTTCGTTGTGACCAGTTGTCTTCTGGGATAAGAACCGAGATAGCACAGCAAATCATTTCATGCAAACATCCATCAGAATTAAGCTGGAAATGACTTTTGGTCTTTTGAGTCAAAGTGGTTTTCAGTCTAACTTAAAAATGCATTACTTCACCACCTGCTTCTGCAGAAATCTAATCTGATCCGTTAGCTCTTACCATTTTAATACCAATTGTGAAGAAGGAACAGTATTGACGCATAGCTTGTGTGCCGGAAATGAGTAGGTAATCATTATTCAGTGAAAACATGCCCTGAAAATATGCCACAGTTTAGGAGGGTGACGTGAGGGCACAACTTTTCTCGGAATCCAACTGCAAGTAAGTACATTTTCAGTGTTTCTGAAAGACCACTGGAAACATTTTCCTGTTTTTTCCAGTTCCATCTCTTCCCTTTTGTTGTCATACTTGCTTTAGCCTCCCTCCTGTTTTCTTGTAATGGCTCTGAATTTTTAGTTGGATTTGATTTCTAACTTCTTTTCTTCATTTGTGTCCATCTCTGTTAAAACACAGTAACAGAGCAGCTGCATGTTTCGCGTGACTGCACCTGCATAGAAAATGGAAGGTAAATCAGAAGAATGGCCACCTTATTACACTCTTACTACACAATATGCATCTGAGTAATGAAAGTTAGTTGTCAAGAATGCTGCCTCACTTCACTTAAGGGAAATGAACCATAGAAGTTAATATAAAAAATGTCTTCCGTCCTTTTTTTTTTTTTTTTTAATACAGATAATGTTTGAAACTATTCTGTTTATATCCTAGGGTGTTTTTCTTCTTAGGCACCCCACCAAGTAACTGAAGTAAAATCTTTTTTCTATATAATTATGAGTGTAAAATTGGTAGAACGAAAAAATAAACGACCTTCAAGTAACACACAGGAAAATGACAAGATTACTGAGTCCATATTCACTGGCTGCTGCAGCACCACATCCTGTTGCATTCTACGATTATGCTATAAACCTTCCTTTCCATGTCCCTCATCATGGTAACATCATCTCACATAGTAACAATAACAACAGTTTACTGGTGGAGCGAAATGCATAATTTAACTGCAGCAATTCAACAAAAGGCAAAATTCCATCTGTGACTGACATAAAATCTATCTTCAAACAACTGATTCAGTAAAGTAAGAGTGTTAGCTTGCATTACCAAGGCTTTTCATGTGCGGACTGAAGACAAACATAAAACAGAGGACAAAATCTGTAGAAAGTGGATGGTCTTTAAAATATACAGTAAATAAAATCAGTGTAAAAACATATATAAAATCAGCATACCCTTTTACTGGGTCTGGCTGGGATGCAGTTAACATTCTTCATAGCAACCCATATGGTGCTGTGTTTTGGATTTGTGGCTCAAACAGGGCTGGTAACACACTGATGTTTTGGCTTTTGCGGAGGAGTGTTTGCACAGTATCAAGGCTTCCCCCCCCCCCCCACTCTGCCCTCCCCGCAACCAGCAGGATGGGGATGGGCAGGAAGTTCAGACAGGTGATGGCCAGAATGGCTGACCTAAACTAAGCAAAGGGATATCTCATGCCATTTAATGTTATGCTCAGCAATAAAAACTGGGGTAGAGGAAGAAGTGCATGCATGTACCTTCCAAGGTGGCTGCTGCTTGGAGACTGGCTACACAAGTGTCGGCTTGTGGGAGGCGGTAATTGATTGCCTTTGCATCACTTGTTTTTCTTCCCCTCTTTCCTTCATGTACTAAACTGTCTTTATCTTGACCGACAAGTTTTCTTACCGTCGTTCTTCCTATTCTTGCCCCCACTCTGCTGTGGGGTGCTGGTGAGCAAGTGGCTCTAGGTCTTAGCTGCTGGCTGGGGTCAACTGACCACAACTCTTTTCATTAACAAACCAAGATTCACTTATTTTATTGTCCTCTTTCCTAACAACATCTCCATCTACAAAGAAACTTACCTAAAATCTTGTTGATAAACTGAGGTCTCCTTGATGCAGGTAAATAGACTCCCAAGAAGAAGACTGGAATTCCAGATAAAGCAATGGCAATTCCAATCAATGAATTTATAGTGTCGCTATAGAGTGGCACTACCACCAGAAATACTGTGCATATACAGAATATTATTGGGAAAGCCACACTCAGCTGCAGACAAAAACAAACAGAACAGAATGTTATTGAAATAGTCATTGACTGCAGTAGCAAGCATTTTGGTGAGAATTACAGACTTTTCCCTCTCAACCCCACTTTGTAAAATTATCTGCTCTTCCTCATCTGGTTATTTGGAGTCATAAACAAATTGCAGAATTATTCTTGAACAGAACTGCTGTTAAAAATTGCAAAAGTAATCAAGTATGGTAACTCTGCTGTGTTGAAAGAAACTACATAACGGTATTAAGTGTGTTTAGACAAATCCAATAAATCCCAGGAAACAAGAATGACTTTTTCATGTAGCGTATCAACTTCAAGTATGAGAAGGTGGTAAGAGGATCAGATATTGAACTGAAACACCATCAGAGCTAAATGTGGTCCACATTGACAGAATTAATTCACTTAAGCATTCCTAATTTGAGATTTCTAATCCAAGAAAAAAGGCTAACTACTATGTTAGCCTACTGAGACACTCTCCAGTTGACAGAGAGAAGGGATACTGATTGAACTACCGTACAATAAAAGAGTATACTACTACAGTAATCACTTATCTAGGAGACAAGCTAGCTTTCATGGTACAACATAAAATGAAAACCATGTTTTGCATCATGATTCAATTTGTAATCTTTAGACATAACACGTATGGTACCGATTTTAGATAGTACTTTTACATTATGTGTAAGAGGGATTTTAAACAATCCTGTAATAAGTAAATATTACCTTAAGAGGCCTGGGTCGATCTGGTTCCTTCCAACGTAGATATAATTGCCCAGCAATAGAAAGACCAACAAAAAACCAGTAACTGAAACTAAAGTAGTTAATAAGCTTGAAGACATCTTCCACAGCCAGGTAAATAAGGGTCATAGCACACTGTCAGAAAAGAACAGGAGTGAGGTGAACAACAGAGGTTTGAAACGTTCTGTTTATGCTGCTTTTTGCATGAAAGTAACACTTTTTACTCCTTGGTGTTTGGCATGATTTTATGCCTCTCAAAATTCACTCTCCCAGAAATCACCTCAACGACAGTAAATCTGAAGTTCTCTCTCGTGCTTTTATCAAGTCTTCCTTTAAACAATTCATATAGTCACATCTGAACAGTTGAAAAGAAAAGCAATAACTTACATTGAAGAGCAGTGCTGGCACAGGTGTGAACCTCCCTATATGGATCATAGACAACAGATCAGGAAGGTGACCTTCTCGAGATCCTACAAAAAATAGCCTGAAAAACACAAATCAGAAAACAGATGTTGAGGCCACAGATGAGAGAGAATGTATTACAGAAAAATCAAACAACAATACCAGTCAAAATAAGTATTTACACTACTGAATTTCCATCCTTTATACTGGAACATGGATTCAACCCTTCTGGTAAAGATGTACTATACAACAACCATTAAAAGATACATAAGCTTTTAGAAACAAGGTGTTAACACCCATTTCTATAAAAAAATCCTACAGGTAAAATAGAAAACATCTATAGTAACTGAAATAAATTTCCATTGTTTTAAAAAATTCCAAAAGCTGGCAGTGAAAACATTTCAGCTTATAGTAGAATAGTTTTCAACGCCAACCAGAAGAGATCGCCAGGTCTCTGGAAGTAACTCGCTCAACCACACGCTCAAAAAACAAACACACATAGTTATCAACTGCAAATTGCTCTATATTGACTACTTCACCAGATCATATTCATATTTGTTCTCAGTACAGAGGCACTGTGCATACATTCAATGGACAGGAAGGATGTTAAAATGCCTGAATAAATCAATTTAAAACTTTCACTAGTCACATCCATAATCAATGCTCAGAAGAAAGCTTCTATACTGTATCTTAAGCCTTTTGAATGCAGCTTAATAGCAGTAGCAACTTTTAAAACTTTTTATTTGGAGAAAAATGTAAAAGATAACTAAGATTTTTAAAAGCAAGTTTTAAGTAAATACGTTTGAAAACAAGAACTTGCTAGAATTACTGTATCAAGTAAAACAGAAGGTAATTCAATCCAAATAATCAGGAAGTCTGAGGACTCGCCACACAGACAACGTTCACTTGATCTTTAATTTTACTCTGCATACAGCTAGGAAGGCTTTGGGGAAGTAAGGCAGTGTTAAGGGTGTATGTACACACACACAGAGGTTTATTTAGGTCTGTTATTTTATTGTGGCTATTCATTATAGGTTCAGTTACAAAAGTATTTTTGCCGCTCATAATAGATGAGCATAACAGTAACATAAAAATACTTATGAATGTTTGTCAAACAGAAGGAAATATGGACTACCTCGACGATGCTAGAATTGAAGCATTAAGTCCACCAAAACAAGAAAAGGCTACAGCAATGGGAATTGTCCAGCTGAAGATACCAAATACCTGGTCAGCAAATGTCTAATGAAAGGGAAAAGAAAAAGGAAACATGAAAATATCTGCAACAAAGTATATGTAAAACAATCACATCAAAGCTTTTGTAGTAAGTTTGTATGGAAGAATAGTAAGGTAGTAAGGACAATCCATAATGCAGCAGAGGCACACAGATTTTTTATTTATTTATGGATTCTAAGTAAGCACCTTAGCCAAGCACCTGAACTCACATTTTCTGCTCACAAAAACAATGCTTACAAAGGAAAACAATATTATTTTAGAATTTTCTCAGCAATCCTAATATATTTCATTACCCAACTGAACTACAGAACTCAAGTGTAACATAGCAACTACAGACAAAAAAGGACAAAAATATTATTACATATGCAAAAAAGGAAGTGTCATATACTATGCATATATACTCGTTCAGCTTTCTGCGGGTCTGTCTTTTCTATTACAAAAATTTTCTTCAGTTTTTAATATGTTAGTATTTTGAAACACCTCGACCTCCCCTTTAAACTACTGGTCTTCAACATAACATTTATGAGATAAGAAGTTCAGTCAAAGTGGACTAACGATCAGAACTGGCCTTAGTTTGTAACATATAAAGCGATCTGGATTTGACAGTGGTCGAATTTTTCATTGAATTACTCCAGGAACAAGATTAAAAAAAAAAAAACAAACACCTATATTAAGGCTATCTATATTTATATTTAGGCTAATCTATATTTAGGCTTTTTTGACCTACAAAACCATTCAGAAAACAGATCACAATGAACTGCTTTTAGTTGTGTGAAATGAGTGATTGATTTTCTTGAGACAAATCCCTGCATATAATGTCAATCTTTAAACCATAAAATGCAGAAAAAATTACTGACATGAAACAAAGCTTGGCCGGTAAAAGTTTCCTGTTCTTTGTCTGGGTTGACAAAGTGCTTTGTTCAGCACGTTATCCAGGTTAAGGTTCAGAATCCAACTCCACTTAGCTGTAAACCATCATCTACGCTAAAAAGCAAAATTTATTCCATCCTTTTGTGTAATTTAGTTGAGTCTCAGCAAAGGCAGATAGGATTTCCTGCTGCTAAGGGACAATGCAAAAGAGTATAATCAGTTCAATGGGAACCTTGCCAAAAAGTTCAAAGTCAATGCATCAACTATGTTAGTCACCCTGATTCTTACTAAAGCACCTCTCTTCCTGCGTTCTTTTAGCTTACACATATTAGTATAGCTTCCCTCAAAACGAAGCTTCAACACAGGGGTAGAAAAATGCACACACACAGATTCCCACAGAAATTATAAAAATTAACACAAGAAAAGTATAAAAGAACTAACCCATGTATGTATTCTATTTCATGCTGAAATCAGAACATCAATTTAGCAAAAGACCATGCCATAGGAAATGTGTTCTGTATACCACAGATTACCCATTTTCAGTCAATTGAAACTGAACAAGCAACTAATAATTTAAGTTATTGTATATAAAAGATTTCTGCTGCTCAAGAATAAATAATCACTAGAACCCAATGTGCTTCTCTCAGACCCTTATTGGATTCAAGTTCAGCTCCGAGAAACCTTGTCTCTCAAAGCAGAATGTAATTCATAATGATCCAGTGAATGAGTTCAGACAACTTCTCCAGAACAAGTAAGAATGAGGACAAGATGAAAATTCTAATAGGCAATTGTAATATTTTAAAGGATGATTTAAATCTGGACTGCTGATTTCTGAAGCCAAACAGCAAGTAAAATTACTAGACACCAAACTTAAAACCACTAGAGGATTTTTTTTTATTAAATATACAAAGCTAAGATACAGAACTCACTCTACAAGATGTTAGAGAATTAAGATGTTTAGTAAAGTTGCCTAAAGGATAAGCATTTAGATAAGTAATATTAACAGCTAAAGTTAAAGAAGAGAGAGAAAACATGAATGTAATCTTATGCCGCACGATGCAAATTAGCTAGTATGTCATTTGGAGAAACTTTTTCCCCCAAAAGGCAGTTTGGCATTTGTTCTTTGCAAGCATTTCCCATTTCCTTTTGAAACAGCCAAAAGGGCCAGTGTGGAATGCCAGATATGGGACTAACTCAGAGGCCGTTTCCATCCTATAAAGTATATCCAACCTTTCTAAGATACGCTAATGTGGTTTCACACATCCTGGAAAACAGCAATCACTCATATGAGCAGTAAAAGCCACAAAGAGTTAAGGCAAAGCTATGGTATCACTGCCACAAATTATACACAGATCAAGACGTTATAAATTCAATGTATTCTGGACGCAAGCTATACGATTTATAACAACCGTTGATCCAGCTCAAAGTCTAAATAATTAATTTCCCTAGATCTGTACAAGTCAGCCTCTTCAGAACAGAGAATCACCTAGTGACAGCCAAACACTGTCCTTTCCAATGTACTTTCTAATGATGTAGCTGGAATTCCTGAGAGAGCAAACACTGGAGCATTAACTTCAAGAGCTTAACCTTCCCCTAAGTGAGGTAAAGCAAAAGAGTATTTTAATTGAGAACTATCTAGACATTTCAGCTTGGTTTGCCAAGTAGATCTGCCTGCAAACTGATCTTTCAGCAACACAGTCGAAAGGTACCTGAAGTTTGGCTGTACTTTCTAGTGATACTAACTAGCTTAACATGGCAAGTATAGACCCACCTGCCTTTACACAGGTGTTTTCTGACAGTATTTTGCTCTCATTTAAAACCTAAAAATCATCCAAGTTTGTGTATTGCTAGTCCGACAAGAAACATACTTTTATGCTTCAGAATACCTATTTATAAATCCTTCAACACTCCCATTTTAACAGATGCCAAGAACTGTCTTCTCCAAAGCTGAGCTATACTCTCTTGTAAACCAAAGATCTCTACAGTGTTTCTTGCAGAAAGTGTTCCTGAAGTGTAAGTAAAAGTGGCCACAATAAGCATTCAACTGCGTGCATATGTCAGAGAGTTATTTTGCATGAGATAGAAGGGCAGAGAAAAGTACAAAAAGCAATCAAGTTATTGAGCACATACACCCCGTGCACTGCACCAAAAGAAAAAATAAAAAGGGGAGGCAGAAGAGTTAGTGGCTGCTTTCTGCTAAAACTGCAATTGTACAATCATGGATCCTCCACAAATGAGCTAGACCTGGGCTCTGAACTGAGCACCTGACCAATTCCACTTTAACTACCACTACTTCTGGGAGTAGTGAAGTGCATTTATAAAAACAACTGAGCTGGCAACCAGGGGAAAGAATGGAGCATTCGCAAGGGTATGCGGAGGATGACAGAGGAGCCTACCTGGAGGCAGCTATAGCAGAAGCATTTAGTCCACCATAACAGGAGAAAGCCACCACTATGGGGATGGATTTCTTCTCAGGTTTCTTCTGAGAAAGTCTAAAGAGTAAGAAGGATTAAGAGATTAAATTGTCATCTCTGCTATAGTCTGACAAGTCCTGTAGTCCAGACTTGAACTATAACTGCTTCTAACAGCTAGGAAACAGTAAGAGAATTCAGTGGCTGATACAGCACTTGCAATTATAGATAAAGTCCTTTTATGCCCTCCCATCCATTGGACATATAAGATATACATATATATATACACGCACACTGTAGAAAGACATGCACCTGGAATTGTTCCCCTTTGTTCTGATTTTTTTCCCAAACCATCAACAGGGAATAATAATGAAGAAAGAAGCTTCCAGCCATGCACTTCTCAGCTGAACTGCTCTCACTTCGTCATGGCTCAAATGTTACATTACTCCCAGAAGAATGGTCAAAAACTGAATTACAGCTTTGTTTCAAGACATGAATGACTGATTTAACTACATTTTATTTTTATCTTGGGTTAGTTTGATCTCATGATCATCAGCTGGTAACTTGTGAATGGTTTGTAAGAACACTTTTTTGTCCTTTTAAAGGTCCAAACAACAGTTCTATACAAACAGGTTGAACTAAAAGCAGCGGGAATTGCCCCGCATAAAGAGCTGCCACAACAACATACACAGGATACTGCCTCACACCCAGTAATTCAGGCACACAGACAATTAGAAAGACCCACATTTATGTTACGAATCACAAGATGAGAACCGTTTCATCACACTTAGCTACACACAGAAAGTGCACTTAGAGGCACACAGAAAATGTCACACTACACTGAGAGCATATGGAGCTGTGAGCACATGCTAGGCTGGCAAAGCACTAAACAGTATTGATCAGATGGAGAAATGCAAAGAGAATGTAGTCTAACATGAATAAGAAACTTAGGCAAAACTATACCCAAAGATTACGAAGTGTTTCTATTAGGAAGGCTTAAAAGGCACCTAACAGAGCCTCTTTACGTAGCTCATTCCAAGATCCTATCACACATGCGAGCTTTTCCAGGCTCAGTTCTACAACATTGTTACCCTGGAGGTCATATAGAGCAGTAAGGAGATTAATATGTATGAGCACTCTGACTAGTATCTTGGAAGTACAAGTAATTCTGCTTTGACTTTTCTCTTGAGGCACAGTATAAATACATTCCCACATTACAGGAAGATTTGGCAGTCAGAACTACAGTCTGTTTTCTCAATTTTTAGCTTCTCAGGCATTTAAGGAGCTACTTCCTAAAGGAAACAAAGAAACTCTGATTTATGGCGATCAGGAAGCCGAACATGCAAAAAAGTCACTGAGTAGATGAAGTTCTCTGCCACTGCCATAGATTACATTTGTCAAGATACTGTATGACATCTATTCAGTTTGACCAAATTAGATTTACCACCACATATATTAAAGGAAGGAAGGAAGGAAAATGCAGAACAAATGAAAAGAAAGTCAGAAAATTGTAAAGGTGCAAAAGAAAGCAATTTAAATGTTCAGGTTTCCTCTAATTCTTGTTTCAACCACCATTCTGTTGATTGATTCTACTCAGACGGACATAATTCTCTCCTTGTATTATTGGCAATGCCTTTTCTTGGAGAAAAAGGAACAATTGCAGTGCAAGGTCCAGCATGAAATCCTCTCTTCATCTTTAGGTCACTTAATACAATCTTAAAGTAA